TTTTGAGAGAAAATAGCTTTAGCTCCATCATGAGAAACAGGGAAAACAAAGATGTTCTTCCTTTAAATCAATGGCTCGATTTGTATATTTTAAATCTATGGATATATTTTAAACACCTAATGGGGTTGGACTGTCTCATGGAAAGGAAGGTTAAGTTTATGAATCAAAATCCTTCAGTTTGGTCCTTCAGGGGCTTCACAAACTCTTGGCCCATTGAGCTCATAAAAAACAAACAGGCCAATATTAAGTGAGAAAGGGCTATTCTACATTTAATTAGAAACCGGAGTTTTCTGAAGTTGGATTAGTGGAAAAATAGAAGACAAAGTTATTGATCAGCTTATAGGTAGGTGCTCCCATGGTCATGTAATGAACACATCAAAACTTAAACACTGGTCTCTTAAAGTCTTCAAGAGTATCTGCAGGTCAGCTTTCAATGACTAATTCAAAGTGAAGGTGCTCAATTGCATATGGATATATTAAAATGTATTCAGATGAAAAATACATCTGAATGACAAGGATATGGACATGTTGCAGAAGGGCAAGAAGCTAACTCAGAGGAATACTATATTCTTTGTAAATTATTCACTCAAATGTCATCAATATGAAATAGCATTGCAGCTGCCAATGTGCCAATATCCCACAAGTCATGGAAGAAATATTTGACTTGAGGTGGGTAGTGGCAAGTGAATATTTGATTTTGACTTCTTGAAGTTACTGAACAAAGAACGTATTGATCAAAGATAGCTAGTTCAAGTAAATTTTAGAAAAGGAAAACTGTTTTCTTGGTGTTTGCCTAAAAAATGCTTTATATTTCTTCTGCAATTATTAAATGGTATCTTGTTATTGAACAGAAAATCGGAAATGCCAAAACTAAAGTGGACTATTGGAAAAGGATTTAGAAAAACAATTACATTTTTAGTTTTTCTCCTCCACAAAATTATGCATTGCACAAATTTGTTGAAGTCCCATAAACCTGCTTAAAGAGATTAAGCTTTCCTGTAGTTTCCACTACACTAACTACTCTGATAATAATATGCCTAATGATAATAATATGCCTAATGCTGCAGCAGATCAGATTGGGATTTTTTATTACTCGTACGACATCCTACACTTTCCAGAAGAGTTGCTTTTCATAACCATTATGTCATGTACTCTCCTTAAGTTCTTGGAGGACACAGCTTTCCAACATTAAAATGAAATTCACTACTTGACTGAGAATCTACATTTTGAGCTAAAACAGATGGAACCTGTTCTACCACCCATGAGTGTCTTTCTCCCCATCTAGAATAGCATGCAAATCTTATGGGATGCTCAAAAGATCATTTGACTGGCTGCATTTCTCCTTCAAGTTTGGTAAAGACACTTACAAGAAAACATTATCATTCCTAGTTTCAGTCCTGAAACTAACTGCATTCCATCTCTTCAGGCCCTATAAAAAACCAAGATCAGAAATCAGATAAATATTGTTTCCAGTCTACTATCCCTTCTTCAGATGCAGTTACATACAAGCTTATAAATGCGACAGAAGCAATTACGAGATCTCAAAACAGTCATCCATTCTTTGATATGGTAGATCTTGAAAGCTGTGGTTTTGGATAAATCAATATTTGAAAACATACAAATCTGTCTTGGACATGTAGGTGCATTTTTTTAAAATATTGCAAGTCTCACAAGGGGCAGATTGTACAGCCACCTATTTAGACAATCTGATGGAGGAAATTTCACCTTGGTGCTGAGTTCAGCCTCATGTTTGGCTAGGTTCAGGAGCACTGCATGAAAATATTTAATGGGCTGGCAACCACTGATGTAAGTCGGGACTACTTCCTAGTCATGGTGAAATCAAGGGAATTTGAGGTTTTCATTATTTTGCAGTGCCAAGATACTGATTTTCAGATAATGGCAACAGAAGAAATATAGCAATTTTTTTGTCATACTTTAATTCCTGGCTTCATAACAAAATGGTTAAATTATATAAGATCTAAATAGAAGTCAGATGGCTAATCTATTGTGTGTTTTGTTCTCTGCATTACATTCTTACTGCCCTATTTTTGTTATATGTGCTTAGAATACGTATTACTTACAGTTCTCTAGAACTATTCACTTTTGACTTCCAGTTGCTGGAATTTTATCTTCAGCTTTTGATATTTAAATAAGGCAGACCAATTAAAAAATATCTGACCTAATAATATCTATATAATATGAGAGAACAATGACCTTGACCAAAAATAGCATCTTGGATATTCACAATCTGTGTGGAATTCTGATATAATTGTATTTAAATCTGAGGATTTTCTCAGTCTTCTTTTGCTTTAGCTCTATACTATCCTCCTTGTATCTGTGATTATGTCTAGTTGATTCAAATTTACTATGAAGTTGGGAGGGGAGGGGAAGGGGAGGAGAAGGGGAGGGGAAGGGGAGGGGAAGGGGAAGGGAGGGGAGGGAAGGGGAGGGGAAGGGGAGGGGAGGGGAGGGGAGGGGGAAGGGAGGGGAGGGGAAGGGAGGGGAAGGGGAGGGAAGGGGAGGGGAGGGGAGGGGAGGGAGGGGAGGGGAGGGAGGGAGGGGAGGGGAGGGAGGGAGGGGAGGGGAGGGAGGGGAGGGGAGGGGAGGGGAGGGGGGGGGAGGGGGGGGGAGGGGAGGGGAGGGGAGGGAGGGAAGGGAAGGGAAGGGAAGGGAAGGGAAGGGAAGGGAAGGGAAGGGAAGGGAAGGGAAGGAAGGGAAGGGAAGGGAAGGGAAGGGAAGGGAAGGAAGGGAAGGGAAGGGAAGGGAAGGGAAGGGAAGGGAAGGGAAGGGAAGGGAAGGGAAGGAAGGGAAGGGAAGGGAAGGGAAGGGAAGGGAAGGGAAGGGAAGGGAAGGGAAGGGAAGGGAAGGGAAGGGAAGGGAAGGGAAGGGAAGGGAAGGGAAGGGAAGGGAAGGGAAGGGAAGGGAAGGGAAGGGAAGGGAAGGGAAGGGAAGGGACAGAGTAGGAATGGAAATACCAAGGAAAGGACAAGATGGAAATTAAAATCTCTGCAGAAGGCTATGGGGCTAAAAGTGATCTTCAGTCTTCTACACAGGCAGGTCCTTCCTAGCTTCTCTGTGTGGGTGAAATGAATCAAACAAGAAGACTGAACATTGTCATAGAGATCATAGAGGGCACAGACCACTACAACTCAGCTTCATGAAATACAAAGTTAGTCTATATACAGGTGAGGGATGCTGCAGACTGTTTCATTAGGGTATGTGAAAAAGTAAGGCTCATCCTGAGTGTATCTTGTGGGCAGAGTATATATTCTTGCTCTGTTGTACAGTGACATGAGATTTAATTTCCATTTTATGGCTAAATCAGTGATACAAAGTTTTCTTTAAATGTATCAAATAACCTTTTTTTTTTTTTTTTTTGTGTTTGGTTTGCTTCTACTGAGATAGAATTGTCAGAATCTTTTTGCTAATACCTACTTTGGAGCAACATAGAAACCATTGATGTACTGGAAAACTTCAGGATAGAATTTGAAATGCGTCAGTACGTCACGTACATAATATTAAAGGACAAAAAGTGGACAGTTTCCACCTGTGCTGCATTCTGAAAAAGTCCACAGATTTTGAGGTGAACACAACACTGAACATATCAGACTTTCCCAATTGAGTAAAAATCTGTTAATATACAATTATGGAAATTCATGGAAAAAAAACCCCAACTCCAGTCAGAAAAATTTGCAAAAGGATTAAGACATCCAAAAGAGCTGATTACAGTATCACAGGATTAGTGATAAAATTCCCATAATTGCCACAGTTTTTACTTTTGGCATCTGGAATTAAAAACTCCTGCATAAATCTAGGTACTTCAAGCCATTTGTGATATAATGTGTATTATATACAGAAAAAATCCTCTATACCCAGAAAGATTAATAATTCCTCACAACTCAAAGATGACTTCACATCACTGGTTACATCACATTGACTAGTTTATGTGCCATGGGGGGCTTCTCTTCCATTTGCTCATTAATTTTAGAGATTTTTAAGTTTTTAGGTCTTGTTTATGAGTGAAATCACATTAGCTCCATAACTTGAAAGCAAAAACACTTCCTCACCTGATACTTTGTAATTCCCTTCTCTTTCCTTCTGTCAATTTTTATGATGAAAAAAATGAACAATTCTATTTACTAAATATACTCAGATATTTATACTGACATGATTTCAGAAACTTTTCTGAATTTAGTCCTCTAGCAAGTGAGACACCATGTGTTATCAGAGTTAGTTAAAAAGAGAGAACAAAAGAGAAATGAGCAAATAGTTCCTAAAACAAAGAAGAACACAGATATTATGTCATGAAAAAGAAAATGTTTGCATTAATTGCTTAACTAACCTGTATAAGAATCAAACCTTTGCTTTGGGCTGATGGAGAAAAAAAAAAAAAACAAAACAAAACCCTGTCAGAAAAGCATTGAATACAAGGAAGGAGAAAAAGTAACCATCAATGTGTACCTATATGCTCTCCAGACTGTAAATTGAACATAGACATTTAAATACATTCTCTTCTTAGAAACAAATGAGGAAAAGTGGTTGAAAATGTTCCAGATACTTTCTGTCAGTGATGACCTATGCCCTTTTTCCTAACCTGCCTTGCCCCGTACTTAACTCTGTTCTACCTCAGTATCTAACATATAAACTTGAAGAAAATAAATATACCAATGTTGTGATCTCTGAAAGGCTCTCTCGGCTACTTGATTGTCATGTTTTAGGAATACTAACACTGTTTCCTCCTTCAATCCTATTTTTCTCTTTCACTCAGTTCTTGCTTTACCTCTTAGCCACCCAGTGGTGTTGAGAGTTAATAAAACTTCAGGATCGACACTGCAAACATCAAGCATTGAAAAATATGATATGAACAGCAGTCTTAAAAGCATATAACCAGGGAATTAATTTGAGTTATTTTAGTTGACCTCTAGTGTTTAGATTGTCAGGATAGACCTGGGCTATTTTTTTCTACACAGAGGTGTTCAAAGAAACAGCTTTGTACAGCATTTATGAATTGCATCATGATGTTAGCTGCTTTTAATTATTTTTTAGTGTGTGTAAAGACTTCCGATATTCTTGTTATTAGAAAGCTTGGGTTGTACTGCAAATTGAAATATTTCTGTGAAAATCCCATTAAAAATATACTAAGTCATCTTCAATGTCGGAGCTCCCATAGCTGTCCTGGTGTCATTGCGCTGCAACATCGCCTCCTCAAAGACAATGAGGGAAGCTTCCAGGCATTCTCACACACATTCACCCACAGAGCATAAGGAAGAGTCTGAAGTGGGTGTGGAAAGGCAGTTACAGCTCATCTTTCCTCAGGTGAAGTAGCAGAGACCTTCTTCTGTCCTGGTGATTCTCTGCTCTGAGTGCCATTCTTCATACTTCTTACAAGTGACCCATAGACTGCACTGGAAAAATCCTGTCAATGACTGTAGGAAAACAGGAAAGATGAAGTTCATTAAAATGAAAAAGCTATCACAGATGCATGTAAGAGAATCAGAAAACAAATAGTAGGCACACATACCTCACTGTGATTTAATTCTCTCATTTTCCTCTTCACAAAATATACTGCTCTTCTTTTTAATTTTTTTCTTTGTCTGTCTAGAGAGCACCTGGAAAGCAAAAATGAGACATTCTTCTAGTCTGATTAACTGGCAACCAGACAAAATTACTGACAAAAGTTTTTGAAAATATCTTCTGATTTCATACATCTCTGTTCTTGAGATCCAATTTAATAGTCCTCAGAAGACCATGTTTTCAGAATCTTGAACATTTAATCTCATAAAGAGCCCTTAATATGCCTCTTAGATCACCTCAAGGTCCTTTTATTTGTACATGTGAAAATGAAAGCATCCAAAATTAAAGAGAGAGCAAAGACTAAGCTGTGACGCTCAAAGCTTGCAGCATGATTGCTACTTCTCTCTGCTCAAGAAAAGAAGGAAGCACTGGCAGTGAGTTTTCTAATGCAGGGGTTTTTTTCATCCTGTGCATCTCTTTCAGATGTGTTGTTCAGATGCAGATGCAGAATCTGTTTGCCCTTACTATACACCTCATGGGAATTTATTGTGTGGTGTGATTTATTTTCACCATTTTGTATCTACTCTCAATAACCCTCCCAGGTTTGCTGTGGAGTAATGTACCCCATGCCAGATTTAATCTGTTGTACTGAGCTGAAATCAGACATGAGTACATATTATTGTGCACTGTGAAGTCATTCAAATTGTGTGTGAGTCATTTTTTCTTGTAAAAACAGGTATATTTCTTACAATTACTTGATTCAGTAATTTGCTGTTCTGCACCAATAAGCACTTAAATATTCTGAAACAAGAGAAATAAAATTTGCAATTCATGAACAACCGTGCCTTTCAGGAGAAAAAGCTAATAATTAAGGGGCCAGATTATTAATCTTAGTACTGCAAAGTATCTATTTATAGAAGCGATTATATCTTAGCTGAGCATGTGCACACAGGGGTAAAATCTAAGTTGTTTAAGTAATGCCAGTCTGCCCCTGCAATTTTAAAGGTTATTATACAGCTAATGAGGACTAGCAAGTCATGATGTGACAGAAGTCTTTTGCTCTGCAGCTGACACTAACTTGCCAAAAGGTACTTGATTAATTATAACATTGTAAGATAATGCCTTGTGAGCCCATACCAGGCAAATTACTCTTCACGGAGCACTGACAGTGCATCTCTCTTCCACCTATGTAATTTAGTCTCAGTGTAACAGTCACAGGAAACACACAGCCTCCGAAAATTATATCTGCAAAATGACAAACACAAAGCAAACTAGATTGCAAGCTTGAAACCATTTCTCATGGGGTGTAATTATAATCATACATCAATCCTCCAGAAGGAATAACATACTATGGAAAAGCCAATGCAAAACTTCATTATCTGTCACCTATGCTAAAACATACTTCACCCTTTCTGATTACCTTAGTTTCCTTTCTCATATATTTGAAAGAAAATTCACAACAGTGCATACCTTACAACAATGTTTCTATGTTGTGACCTGTATTATGCCTGCACTGGTTTCCAACAGCCTTCTAGTATGAGGCTTCAATTTTTTAAATACTATGTAATGGCTGTGCTGGATTTTCAGAAGTAAAAATATGAAGTTAGTGTAATTCAGCATTTAAAAAAAAAACTTAATACCCCCAAAACAAAACCAGAAAAGAACCCAGGAAAAATATTGTTATGACATTGCAATTTTCTATCAAGCCAGATTGACCTGCCCAATTCAAAAGGGAAAAGAAAAACTCAGTGTATTCAAAGCTGCTAAAATAACCTTCAAAGCCTCTAGAAATGAAAAGGATCAGACATCCTTATGTCACTATTACTAGGAAACATAATTTTTCTTAGACGGCCTAAGAAGCAGAAGACCCTTGGGGTGAAGCTGAAGTCACAATTTTTTTGTAATTAATTACTTCCCTTCATGAAGTACATCTGGATAGAAAGAATCATATTATTTCTCATCATAAGTATTAATTTTCTCAGTGTGAGATGTCTGCAATATGGCAATTGAGCAGGGGAAAATTTTGTCTAAGATCACAAAACAGCTATATCATCACTAGACATCTAGAGACTTTTCAGCTCTGAACTCTTCATGCTGAAGACGTCCAAAACCTCCTATAAAAGAAGGGATAAAAAGAGTAAACCACTAGAAAAAATGCTAGATATGCTTTACAAATTAAAGATTGTTTTGCTAGGTAACAGTACTCAGAAAATGTATAAAGGACCTTGCAAAAGAAAATATAATAACACAAAAAAACCTATCAGATATCCAAACAAGTAAAGAAAGAGAGAGAAATGAGATTTGACTCAGCTTATTCAGTGTATCAGTGAGTTTATTGAAATGGATTTATATCAGATCTTAGGTAATGGAAAAATGTTTAATATGAACATTAAAGAACTACAATGCTATTAAAAATCTTTTTGAATCTGCCTCAGTTCATGAGCCACACAGACTATTTTGTGCTCCAGTGACAACAGACATTGTTCTAACACCTGCCTTACTAGGAGGTGTAATTGTCCATAGTGACACTTAGAAAGAGAATCTAATGGAAATATTTGAGTGGATTGAATAGTTCTCTTGATATTCAAACACAGCAAGCAGTCACTGAAGGTAAACATGTTAGAAAGGTTAAATAAAATGTAGGCCTAACCAGTGCTTAGCAATTAAATTCACAAGCCACTCAATTCTTACAGAGAAAAGTAAAATAATTTCTAGAGTTTACAACACAGTAGTGGAGTTATACTCTTGTGTTCATTATTTTCAGGTTATAGTCTCCAGTTAATACATCATTGGTGATAAATTGTCATGTAACATTCTTAGTTATAGATCACATTAACAAGACCAATCTTTTGCTAATGTATAAGTACTCTCAGAAATAAAGATAAATTACCCCTGGAAAAACACAGGGCTTATGTGCTAGATGTATATATTCCCTGGGTTTTTCTTAAGTGCAATAGCACTATTGACAAAATTTGTCATTAAAACCTGCCTCAGATACTTTTAACCTTGTGGAGGACTTCAGACAAAGTGGCCGACATTTTCTACATATTTTTTTTTCCTTTGGGAATTTCAGCACATATGATTCATTATAGAAACTGATAAGTAACAGAATCATCGCAATATTTAAAGCTATGCATGATTTCCTGAAACTGCAATGGTCTGGCAGCTGAAATTTGTCACAGGCATAGGCCTCACTGAAAAATCCATAGCCTTGTTTTAGGAAGAAAATGTGTTTGTCAAGGTCTGGGGAATCTGAGCTGTAGTATATGCATACATATTATGGACTGTGCTTTAAATGAAAAGGATTGACCCAGGAGCAATGTTACCTAGGAGTACAATTGGAAAGACAGCTAGTGAGGAGTTTTCATGAACCAAAATTTAAAAGGTGTCATTTTTAGATGCTAAATGTGTATTTGGAGCAAGTATGGATGTTCTATTTGGTAGAACAACTTGCAACATGTACTAGCAGAGTACAAGTTTTACCAAGTTGCACGCAAATTGCAAATGTGTCCATGTACCTGTCTCACCCACAAGAAGAAATTGTTTGCTTTTTTTGGACCTTTTTAGGCAGACCTCTGACATAAGACATTTCTGTGGCTATATAATCAGGTCATGCAAGAATGTGATACTCAAATGTTAAAAGCTTTTGCCAAGTTTCAGCTCATACACTTCTTTCTCTATGTTTTTCTCATTTGCATTATCTCAGGGAGTTTGGACCTCCATTTGCCAAATAGCAAGAAAGCATTTAAAGGAACAGGATACCTGGTGGGAGATCCAGCTACCATCTCCTTAGACAGAATATCCTAGCTGTCTCTAGAAGATGTGGAAATGGACATCCACTTGCATAGCTGTGCATACATTCTCAAAAGGGACTTGTATGTGCAAGTTACACAAAATGCCCTTTTGATGATACCTTCAACTCATATTATTTTAAAAAGAGAAAGCCAAAAATAATTTTAGCATGACTTCAATAAAACAGGCAGGGCTTGGTGAAGAAGAGAAAGAAAGAGGTCACAAAAATCACAAGTTATTCACTGAAATGCCGTGAATCTCAGGGAAAAAATGTTCCCCTTACAGGCTTTGACTCCAGTCAACATCAAAACTTGATTTCTGCATCTTTGAATAGCACATAATTATCAAGTAGTCAGTGGAAAATAGTTTCAAAATCAATTTCTACAATTCTACAGGTAAACCAGGCCATAAGACTCCTATGAAATGCTAGTAAACACACTTTTTAAGTATTCTAGCAGTAATCCACCCAGGCTCTGATCCAACAGATGCACTCAGAGCTCTGCACACACACAGCCTCACTGCATGTATGGCTCACAGACCCCTGTCCCTTCTCCAGAGAGGATGGATTTCCCCCTTTACCCTGTTTCCAAGGCCTCTCCAGCCTAGCATATGGTCCTGCAGCTGCCCAGAACCCACCAACATGCTGGTGGGAAAGCTCCTGCTCCCACAGACACCGTGGGACAGAAGTCCCACATGTTGCTGCACACTGCCATCAGCTGATTGTCAGCTTCCTCACTGATAACTTCTTCAGAGGATGGTTGACCTTGGTGCAAATATCCCCATCGGTGAGAACTTTGGGTGCTGCAGCCAGGCAGAGGGGGCCTGACAGGCCACTTGCTGCTCCCAGTCCCTGCCACAAAAAGGAGGTGGTTTGTGTGGTGCCCACTGCCACAGGGAACTCCCAGGCTGGTTGCACAGCTATCAGGAAATTGTGGGCATTAGAGAAAGATGAAGGGAAATGGATAGAGGGCAGCTCATTTTGAGGGAGAGGGAAACTACTCACTCTCAAAACAGACCAAAAATAACAGTGGGAACAGCATGAGCTAGGAGTCTCCAATTTTTAATTCACCAAGCAGGCTTTTCCATTGCTGCAAGTTTTCAACATCATCTTCATCCTTGCCATGAGGCATCACTTCATAATAAGGTGACTCCTTTTGATAAATGTGCTGTGTAGGGTGAGTAAAGGAGGTAGAACCTCAAGTGCAAAGCTGCCTTTTGGGAACGGATGTGCTTGCCATGTGCATTTAGTAAGAGATATATGTTGTAGCATTTCAATGGCAAAAAAATAAAGGAATAATCATTATAATCAAATTAACAATACTGCGTGTCTGCCCCAAATTACAGCAACATTAATTAAAATTACCCTGTAAGATATGAAATTTTAAAATCTGTCTCTTGTGCACTCCCATGAAGGAAAAACACAGGTTTACAAAAGGAACATACTCTGAGCTGGCAGCTTCATTCTAAATAGAAAAGGGAGATGAAAGCAATAATTATAAAGAATTTTCAGAACCTTATTTCATAATTATTCTGAAATCTTAGATAACAGTGAAAACAAAAGAGAGATACAGAATCTGACCACATTCATTTCAAGGATAGGTTCTGTCTCTATGATGTACCTTATCAGAGTTTTACAACATTACCTTTCTATACAGAAATGTAGCCCCTCAAAAAAAAATAAAAGTTAGCGGACAAGCTCTGTCTTTTTTAGTACATGACCTTTAATTTTTTTTAATCCTCTGATTTTATTTAAATAAAGTGATATATATAATTATCTGTCATCTCCTTTTCTTGGTACTCTTCTGTCTTTAATTGAAT